TACAGCAGTTATTTCCAAATGTTTTTGGAGACCTATCTCCACTCCAATTTAAAACAAATTTTTCAATACACAATTCCGATTATGAATATTTATTTGTAAATTATATATGTACTACTGTACTATGAATTAAAGATTATAAAATATATACAAAGCATACATTTAGAAAAGATGAGATAAAATTAAATAAGTAATATTTTAAATCTGAATGTGCTTAATTTAAATTTTAAAAGTTAACATATTCTGTTTTGGATATAATAAATTTGAAATGCCTATGGGACATCCAGTTCAAAATGCAGTTTTGATTTTTGGGTTTTTGGGGGGTTTTTTTGGCTAGGCAATTGGGGTTAAGTGACTTGCCCAGGGTCACACAGCTATTGAGTATCAAGTGTCTGAGGCCGAATTTGACTCAGGTCCTCCTGACTCAAGGGCCAGTGCTCTATTCACTGAGCCATCTAGCTGTCCCCAAAATGCAGTTTTTGACATATGATTATAGCACACAAAAGAAACTAGCACTAGATATAAAGATCTAGGAATCATCTGCATAAGAATATTAATCTGACCCACTGGAGTTGAGAAGATCACTGAGTAAGATAGTATAGCTCAACAAGAACCCAAGAGAGCTTGAAGAACACGCATAATCAGCTGGGATGACACAGAAGAAGAACTGGAAAGGGAACAAAAGGAATAGTCAGAAAGACAGGAAGAAAACAAGCAGAGAGCAGCATCATAAAAATCAAGAGGAATCAGTAGCAAGAATAAAGTGATCAACAACTCTCAAAGCTATACCAAGGTCAAAAAAATTGGAAAATGCCCTCTAAGGTGCCTTCTAAAACTAAGGTTCTATACTTCTAAATCCCATAAAATAAGAAGCCAGAAAGAACAAGAGCGCAGAACTACAAATTTCATTAAAATACTAAAATATATGGAATTCAATTAAAATTTTTACTCAAGTTCATAAAAATGGTTCTCGGGGCAGCTAGGTGGCACAGCGAATAGAGCTCTGGCCTTGGAGTCAGGAGGACCCAAGTTCAAATCTAGCCTCAGATACTTGACACTTACTAGCTGTGTGACCCTGGGCAAGTCACTTAACCCCAACTGCCTGGGGGGGGGAGAAATATACATATATATGTGTGTGTGTGTGTGTGTGTGTGTGTGTGTATGCACATAAATGGTTCTCTATCACATATCTGATGTGACAACAAAAAATAAAGTTTCATCTAAAAGCCAATATATTTATCCATTAGGACACTTGCCTCTCTCTCCAGAAATGTTAGACTAATTTCACCAAAAGATAAATTGTCACTTCCCCAAAATGACAACTGTTGGAGGGGCTATGAGAAAGCAAGCACATTAATAAAATGTTGGTAGAGATGGGAATTGATCCAACTATTCTGGAAAGCAATTTGAAACTATACCCTCCAAAGTCACTAACCAGTGACCCAAATATATCACTACTGGGCTTATACCCCAAAATGATCAAGGAAAAAGGAAAAAGGACCCTTATGTACAAAAACATTTGTAACAGCATTTTTTTATAGCAAAGAGCTGAAACCTAAGCGGAAGGAGGTCTAACTAGAGAATGACTGAACAAATTATGGTAAATGACTATTGGAACGTTATTGTGCTGTAAGAAACTATGATAAGGTATGGTTTCAAACATACCTGGCAAGGCTTATAGGAACTGGTAAATAACCAGGAGAACAACTAAAAAGACAAACAACGTTGAAACACTTAATAACTGATTAATTTAATGACCATAATTCCAGAGGACCAATGAGGTGAGAGACTCAAGATGTAAGCTTCAACAGCATAAAACTACACTGGCTTTTGGAATGTCCTGTATCTCAGGACATGGTCAATGTGGGAATTTTCCTTTTTTTTGCTTGAGTATGCTTATTTGTTACAAGGGTTTTGATTTTCTTTTTCCTTTTCCAATGGAGAGGGAGAGGGGAAACAGAAAAATACAAATTTGTTCATCAAAAAAATAATAACAAGGGTGTTTTTTTTCAATTTAGAGGCAGTGGAGTGGTTAGGATAGCGTAGTCAAAAAAAAAAAGAAAGAAAAGACCACCACAAAAACATTTTTTAAATACATAAAAGAGAACAGAAGGAAGGGCAGAAATAAAGTCAAGCAGGACAATTTTAAAAGTTATATGTTGAATTTATTATATATTTAAAATGAAAAAACAAACTGTACACAATAGAGATTTGCAGTTTCAAGTACAATCTTTTTGGGGGGGAGTTCTATCCTCTATTTCCAAACATAAATGCCCATTTTATTTGGTGTTTGTAGTCAGAATTTTTTAAAAATAAATTTAAGTTTAAGAAAATAAAAATGACAGCAACAAAATAAAACAAGTTAGGCTTCACAAGGTAACTCAGTCTGGAGGATTTGGTATGGTCATGGATCTCTCACACTCTGATGTGCAGAAAATCAGAAATTCAATTTGATCAGCTTAAAATGGATACCAGTCATCAGGTAAATGATATTGATATTGTGACAGCCAACCTCACAAGAAATTGATTCATAAACTAAAATGCCAATTTATTCATTTACAATGAGGATATATATATCTTTCTAGTTATCAAAACACTAATATCTACTATACAGGGCACACTCTCCAAGTATCCAAGTAACTATAAAACCAAATTACTAATCAGATGGTATAGAATCAGAATAAAAAGAATTAAATGATCATACGGGATATTTCATCTCCATACAGTATCAGAGTCCATTGAACTATATTTGGCTTCAGTATGGAGCATGTTTTTTACTGACCAGATTATTCAGGTCTGCCAGATGAGATGTCTTTTCCCTAAATAAGCCCTAAGAAATTTTGTTCTTTAACTTTTCTATTTTTTCATAATCCACATGTCAAAAACAATTTGCAGACCCATTTCTCCCCTGATATACAAATCTCCCCTGAGATACAATCTTGAGGGCCTCCAGATGTGAGTCTATACCTATCATTAAGTACTAGCTTTTCAATAGCTAAGCAACAATGATGGCCACTCACCCCACAACATACAATTTGTACGATGCTCCCTCGGGTCACAAGTGTTTGTAAGAAAGTGGCCTGACTTGTACTGGTAGCCTAGACTCAAAAAATAAAATCAGTAAACCTGGTCAAGTCCTCAAAATGTAACCCTTGTGTCATTTGGAGGTCGCAGACTCTTCTCTTTTGATAGATGTGCCAGGTTAAATCCTAAGGATTTTCCTCTAATAAAACTTCCACAGCTCATATTTGATCTGCATATTCATTCATTCATGTCACAGAAAGATAGGCAAACATCTCATCTAAATCCACTGGGCCTTCCCACTTGTCCTCCCAATGAGTCCTCTGGACCACCATTCTTTGCCATCTAGACTGCTGACACACTCTCAAAAAAACAAGACCTCATTATTCATCTGCCTATACACCCCTCCAGATGACTAGATTCAGTCATTCACCCTGCTGCTCTGTCATCTAGAGTCTAAACTCTAGACCACCAGGCCAGCACCTGAAAGATCTCCAGGCATCACTATTTGTCGTTGAGTTGCACCCTACTACATCCCCCTTATTAAAACGTAAGCTCCTTGAGGAGAAAGACCATCTGACTTTTGTACTTCTGCTTCCAGCACTCAACACAGAACTTGGCATATAGTGAGTGCTTAATAATTTTTTTTTCATTAATTCATTCATTTAGTTCATTCATTATTTTCTTTGCTCCCACTTAGTCCCTGTGAACATCTGAATTTGACTCATTTCTAGTTCTCCCCTAGTAATGATCAGTCTTCTTGCAATCAATAATCCTCCAAACAGCATCTGGATATAGTTTGATGCTATCAGGCCCACCCACTGCCCCACCCTCCAAAAGCTCACCTTTGGCAAAAGGCAAGGGAGGAGAAGAAAGAAGGGCGGCCCTTCTCTCACCAGGAAGATCAAGACAACTTCTGTCCCTCATCCCAAGCCATACTGTCAACTATGCCAAAATTACAGTATATTTTATGTTACTTACATTTTGAGTACCTCTACTTTTACATTTATCTCTAAATAATCCATCACTAAGGCTCTCCACTGTAAAAATGGTTGTTTATTTTCATTCAATCCAATTGAATAAACATTTATTAAGTACCAACTATGTGCCAGGCACTGTACTAAGTGCTGGAGGCACTATGCTAACTACAGAGACCTGCAGATTCTATCCCTGTTGCTGTTGTTCAGCAGTCTCAATTGTGTTTGACTTTTTGCGATCTCATTTGCGGTTTTCTTGGCAGAGATACTAGAGTAATTCGCTACTTTCCTTCTCCAGCTCATTTTACAGATGAGGAAACTGAGGCAAACTGGGTTAAGTGACTTGCCCAGGGTTACACACTAGTAAATGTCTGAGGCCAGATTTGAACTCATGAAGATAAGTCTTTCTGACTCCAGGACTAGCACTCTATTGTACCACCTAACTGTCCAGAAAGGTCTATGGGCCCTCTTAATTTAGGCCAATAGCCCTCCATTTACTGACTAAAAATGATTATAAATATACAGAAAAAGAGAGACAGAGAAAGAGAGAGAGTACTCCTTCAACAAAGAGAGTAATGCAAACTAATTTGGCCCAAAAAATTATTACTAAAAATGAAAACTATTCTTTTATTTGAAGTTGCCAGTTCATTTCAAGGATAGATAGGCACATTTCCCAGGTCACATAGGTATTTCTAAATGAAATTATAGGTATCTCTAAGCAAAACACTAGCTAAATTTAGTTACAAGTTGAAATCCCAGGAACCATGATTAAGGGCAACTGAAATAGAAGTAAAGAAAAAACTAGGAAACTCTAACAAATACTTATAAGAACCTAAGAGTAAATTCAGGATGACAAAGAGTCAGGGAAAATACCACTTTCTAGCTAGCTACCAAAGTAACATGAAGGAAAATGCAGAATCAATTCATTTACTTGAAAACCAGTGTATTCAAAACATTTTCAGATAACATAATCTTCACGAACATAAAACTTATGTTTCTACTTACATGACGGTATAATGAACTGAGGCTCAGTGTTTCCTGCATAGCCAAGCTTGGTATACCTATAAGAACAAAATCATTGAAAAATGTTTAGATGACAATAATTTTTATATTTCCAAAGCCCTGAAATTGCAAGATTTAACTTAACTACAGTGAAATAAGTAAAATATTTAATCCAAATTTTTAGAAATTAAAGTGTTTATAAAAACCAAAAACACTATTTTGCTAATTTTTAAATTATATCCTAACTGGAATTTTCTTTTCTATTTCACAAACTTCATTATTTTGTGAATCTTCTATTAAATTATTTTAGAACAGTGTACCTAGTCTATTGGGGCAGGTAGCTAGACAGTGAATAGAATACCAGGCCCAGAGTCAGAAAGACTATTCCTCTTGAGTTCAAATGTGGCCTCAGACACTTATGAGCTGTGTGACCCTGAACAAGTCGCTTAATCGTGTTTGCCTCAATCTCCTCATCTGTAAAATGAGTTGGAGAAAGAAATGGCAAATCAAGCCAGTATCTTTACCAAGAAAACCAAAAATAGGGTCACAAAGAGTTGGCCATGACTAAAAACGAATGAACAAAACCTAATCTATTAAATGAGTTTAGAACAGTCTAGAAACATTTCTTTCTTACCTCCCTCATTTCAGAACACATCCAAGTTTCTATTCAGAAACTCCGTAAAACAAACTACAGAAGTCTAATTTAAAATAAGATGTTAATTTACTACATCCTGTTCCACAAACATTTGTTAAACTCAAAAGTGTGTGTGTGTGTGTGTGTGTGTGTGTGTGTGCGCGTGTGTACACGCACACATGCATCTTTTTAAACAGAACCATCTACTAGATACAAGAAGCTGGAAAACAAGAAGTAAATTGGAAAGTCTCATCAGCTGTTCTCTTCTTATTAGGACCTCTGCAATTCATAACAATACTTAGGAGTTCTGGGCAACAATCTATCATTCTGTACTAATGTCTGGAATGAATAAAAATTTGTCACAGGAGCCATACATGCAGCAAACTATAATTAATTCCATTTTGCAAGTTATTTCAAGATATGTTCCACTAAATTCTTATATATGGCAACATTATAACCTACCCTATACACATGATTCTTTGGAAAATAATATAGGCATTCAGAGCCAAGATAGCAGAGTAGAGGGAACATAATAGCTGAGTCCTCCCAACATTCCCCTCCAAACAACTTTAACATAACATGTCAAATCAAATTCTGCAGCAGCGTAGCCAACAAAAGGCCAGAGGGAGACGTTTTTCCAGCCCAAGACAACTTAGGAGGTCAGTAGAAGAGGTCTTTGATGCGGGGGCCAGCTAAGAGTCCACATATTGGCAACACCAGTGGTGGGCCCTGAAGGAAGCTGCTCAGCCGAGAGACAGTAAGGGGATGGGACAACTAGTCGGAAAGAGATTACAAGAGACCCTAAGCTGACAATGGGTACAGGACTATGCACTGGTTGGCAACTCCACTGCCCATGTGTAGTTCTGGATCACACTTAGGACCAAGAGGACCACCAACACTCGTGGTCATTCACAAGAGGAACACTAGCACTTGTGGCTGCAGGAGAGCAGAGGCTCTTACTGGGGAAAGCCAGAGCACAAACCAGAATAATTCCACCTTCTCTCAAGAAAATACCACCCAGGAAGCACCAAAAACTTGCAGACCCCCAGAACTGGCTCTGAAAAAAGCAGCATGAAAAAACCGGAAGCCTGGTACAATGCTTCCCCCCCTACAGGTGAACACAGTCCAACCTTAACATAAAGCTCAAAGTCAAGAAACAGCAAACACACAAAAAGAACTTGACTATCAGAAGCTATTCTGGTGGCTGGGAAGATCAAAACGCAAACTCAGAAAACCCAACAATGTGAAAACAGCCACAAGCAAAAATGCAAATTGGGCACAAACCCAACAAAAATTCCTAGGGGAATTAGAGAAAGACATAAGAGAGGAAGGGGAAAAATTAGGAAAAGAACTGAGTGATGCAAGAAAATTAGGAAAAGAGGCACAAAAAATACTAAAGAAAACACTACCTTAAAAACCAGAGTTGGCCAAATACAAAAAGAGGTACAAAATCTCCCTAAAAAAATTCCTTAAAAATTGGAATTGGGAAAGTGGAAGCTAGTGATTTCATGGGACATCAAAAAACAATAAAAGAATGAAAAAATAGAAGAAAATGTGAAATACCACATTGGAAAAACAACAGACTTGCAATTAAAGATAAAGTTAAATAAAATTAGAATGAAATAGGATTGAGGAGAGATCATTTAAGAATTATTGGACTATTTGAAAGCTATGATCAAAAAAAGAGCCTAGACATATTTCAAGAAATTACAAAGGAAAACTGCCCTGATATCTTAGATCCAAAGAGTAAAAAAGAAATTGAAAGAATCCACCAATCAACTCCAGAAAGAGATCCCTAAATGAACACTCTCAGGAATATTAAAGTCAAATTCCAGAGTTCCCAGCTCAAGGAAAAAATACTGCAAGCAGACAGAACGAAATCATTCAAATATGATGGAACCACACAAGATTTAGCAGCTTCCACATTAAAACACAGAGTTTGGAATATAATATTCTGGAAGGCAAAGGAGGCTAGGATTACAACCATGAATAACTTACCCAGCAAAAGTATAATCCTTCAATGGGGGAAATGGACATTTAAAAAAATTGAGGATTTTCAAGCCCTCCTGATGAAAAAAATGGAGCTCAATATAAAATGTGACATTACAGTACAAGATTCAAGAGAAGCACAAAATGGTAAACACAAAAGGGATTCAATAAGGTTAAGTTGTTCACATTTCTACATGGGAAAATTGTATTTGTACCACCTAAGAATTTTATCATTATTGGGTAGTTAGAAGGACTCTACGTGGACATGGGAGCAAGTTAAGTATGTTGGGATGATCTTTAAAAAAAAAAAAGATGAGCAAGAAAGAGCAATGCACTCAATGAAGGGAGAAGAGAGAAAGAATGGGGGAAATTATCTCACATAAAAGAAGCATGCAAGGAAGGACTTTTACAGAGTAGGGGGAAAAGCAGAGGGAGTAGGCAATGTTTGAGCTTCACTCATCTGAATTAGTTCAAAAAGAGAAGAATATACATACACATTCCCAAACAGGGAATTAGGAAAGGAAGGGAATAAGGGGTGGGGCGTGTTAAAAAGGAAGGAATACTAAGTGGCCAGAAGTAAAACAGACTTTTGAGGAGGAACAGGGTAAAAAGAGAGAGAAGGATAAACAGAAGAAAATGGGATGGAGGAAAATACACAAAAAAAAACTGTGAATGTGAATGGATGAACTTACCCATAAAACAAAAGCAGAGAACAGAACGGATTAGAAATCAAAATCTAACAATATGCTGTTCACAAGAAACACACTTGAAACAGAAAGACATACAGAAAGTTAAAATAAGGGGCTGGAACACAATCTATTATGCTTCAGCTGAAGTAAAAAAAGGCAGAGGTAGCAAGCATGATGTCAGACAAGGCAAAATTAAAAATAGACCTAACTAAAAGAGAAAATCAGGGAAACTACATTTTGCTAAAAAGTACCAGAGATAAAGGGCAGCTAGGTGGTACAGTTTAGATAGAAAAACAGTATAGATAAAGTACTGGTCCTACAGTCAGGAAGACTTTCTTCCTGAGTTGAAATCTGCTCTCAGACACTTCCTAGCTATATGATCCTGGGCAAGTCACTTAACCTTGTTTGCCTCAGTTTCCTCATCTGTAAAATTAGCTGGAGAAGGAAATGACAAACGACTCCAGTATCTTTGCCAAGAAAATCCCAAATGGGGTCACAGATAGTCAAATATGAATGAAACAAGTGAACAACAAAAACCATAGACAATGAAGTAGTATCAAAAATTTTAATAGCAAGTTTCTTGATAAAGGCCTCATTTCTCAAACAGGGAACTAAGTCAATTTTTTTTTAAAAAGAGCCATTCTCCAAATGATAAATGGTCAAAGGATATGAACAAGTCATTTTCAGAAGAAGAAATAAAAGCTATCCATAGTCACGTGAAAAAAATGCTCTAAATAGCTATTGAATAGAGAAATGCAAACTTAAACAACTCTGATGTACCACCTCACAGCTATCAGATTAGCTAACATGACAGAAAAGGAAAATGACAAATGCTGGAGGGGATGTGGGCAAACAAGGACACTAATCCACTGTTGGTGGAGTTGTGAACTGGTCCAACCATTCTGGACAATGATTTGGAACTATACCTAAAGGGCTATAAAACTGTGTACATACCCTTTAACCCAGCAATATCACTACTAGCTCTATATCCCAAAGAGATCAAAGAAAGAGGAAAAGCACTTTTACAAACAAAAAATATTTATAGTAGCTCTTTTTGTGATAATGAATAATTGGAAATTGAGGGGATGCCCATCAATTGGAGAATGGCTGAACAAGTTGCAGTATATAATTGTGATGGAATACTATTGTGCTATATGAAATGATGAGAAGAATGGTTTCAGAAAAACTGTAAGTCTTATATGAACTGATGCAAAGTGAAGTGAACAAAACTAGGAGATCATTGTACAAAGTAATAGCAATATTGTAATGATGACCATTAAAAGACTCAGCTACTTTGAGCAATACAATGATCCAAGACAATGCCAAATGACAATGAAAAATGCCATCTACCTCCAGAAAACTGATTAACTCTGAGTGCAAACCGAAGTATAATTTTTTTTTACTGTCTTTATTTTTCTTGCTTTTTCGCAACATGGCTAATATGGAAGTGTGTTTTGCATGATTTCAAATGTATAATTTATATCATATTTTTACCTTCCCAGTGGATGGGGAAGGGGCATGAGGGAAAAAATTTAGAGCTTAAAATGTTTTAAAAGAATGTTAAAAATAAATAAATAACATTTTCTGGAAAAATAATGGAGGATTTTAAATTCACTTAGTCATATGTTGTTAACACTAATTTTAAGAAACATTTTTAAATTAAGGTGCATAAAGGGAGAAAAGCAGATTAATTCTAGTTATGAATTTAGTCATCATCCCACAATATGCAGTGACAGATCTTAAAGTA